GCTAGAACTAATGACATCCATAATCCTACTCTTAGGTTTATGCATAAGTGGCTTGGTTTTACTCTGTTTCCAAGAGCTGATATCCGGATAGTGCGATCTAGTTCTCTTGTATGCCATGGTTAGAAAAATCAGAGTTTCACCCGTGTTGACGGTCGTTATCGATCAGTTTCGATCGTCAATATTACTAAAATAGAAGAGAATTAGTGATGCTTGCAATGCATATATCTGTTAGAATAATAATATTCCACTAGTATTAGGTATACTAACCTTTTGCAGAGAATGACAATAAAGTGGAGGAGAATCGACATCAACTCAGACGATAAATCAATCGGACGATGTCGAGAACCAGACTTATGTATGAATGGGCCAAGATCTCAGAATTGACACGATGAATTGGGCCAAAATTCACAAGTCTACAAAGTGAAGCAATAGAGGAGGCCGCCTGCCTAAGATGGGCCGGGAAGGCCCTGCCCATGGTTCGGCCGAATCTGGTGGTTCGGCCAAACCCATCCTGGCACCGTTGGATGTAGGGTTCGGCATGGACGTCCAGGATTGCATCCCAATGACGGTTGGAGGGCACTTCGAACAATTCCCCTTCCACAACCGTCATAACTACCTCTATATAAGGACTTCACCTTCTCACTTCGCTCACACACCTCAAGCAATAGCTCTCTCATTTCTCTCAAGTTTAGTTATTAGTATCTAGCTGGTGGAATAGGAATAGAGTAGAAATTAGGAGTTCGGAAGCCTTCGAAAGAGTTCGGGTATGACTCTAGTAGCTTTTCTCTTCTCTTTTGTAAGCTTTGTACTTTAATTAGAATACTATTCTAAATACATTTATGGTATTGAAATACTTTCCAAGTATATGAGTACCTACTTTACATTATGTTCATGTTATACTGAATATACGGCTAGCTTATCTGGGAGATGCTTTGGTGCGGGTATAATGTTTGCATATGCAATTACTCTATGTCATGATGATGATATTAGAGTAGTATATGGTAGTTTAGACGTGGTGTCTAGATTACGGGATATCATTATTTGGGGTTATATATTGCGGATGAGAGGTGGGCCGCTGATGGTGACAGCTCAGTACGGGTATTCCTCCGCGCCGGTATATAATCCTAAGTTAATTCCCTGAGGAGGGTATTCCTCCGTATTTAACCCCGGTTGTATGGTCATGACAGGCTGTCGTAAGGAACTTGGCAGGCAGGGGTGGCTTCTCGAAGTACCAGGAGGGCATCGGAAAGAGGGTATTAGCTAGTATATCGGTTAACTATAATGTATGTATACTATGTATATTAGAAGTATAGGAATAGATTATCTTTCTCTTTTCTTTCCATTTAGCTTAGATAATATATTATGAGAATGAGTACACTGTTATATTATTATAATATATATATATATATATATATATTGAATCTATTCTACACCCCTCCCCTAGAATAACTATTCTACACCCCCCTCCCATGGGCCAAACCCACCTCCCCCACCCTCCCTAGGGCCCAAAACCCCCCTCCCACCTCGGTCAAAGCGTCCTCCCGCCGGTCAAACCCGCCCACCACTCCCTCCCCCGCCCACCACTTTGCTGCTCTCGTCTTGCAAGAATCGTACAGTAACAGGACGGTCATCGTGTAGTTTTTTTATGAACTTCATGGTGCAAACGGATTGGAAATACAAGATATGATGTGAGAGATATTGCTCTCTAAAGATTGAGATTTACCTCTTTTTTAGTCCTCGTCTCACTGGAACAGCGTAGTAACATGATGGCCAATATGTAGTAGCACCTCTGCTTTTCGCAGTAACAACGTTAAAAAATAGTTATGATGGTTCTAGTTTCGTTAAGCACTTTTTTTTACGAACGCCATGATGCAAATGGGTTAGAAAAATAAGACATGACGTGTACGTTAGTATTCTCTAAAGATTGAGATTTAAAATACTCTAGATCTAAAAAAATTACTACTATAAGGCAACTGTTACTATGCATGTTCTCTGTTACTGCAAATTTCGTCATATTGTTACTGCCAAAAGTGCAGTAACAACCTATAAAGTTTACAGTAACAACCTATACATTTTTGCAGTAACATATGATGTTACTACCCTTCTAGGATAATGTTACTGTTGAATCATAGTAACAAGGTATGATTGTTGTAGGTACATAACTGATTTGTTCACAAATCATCATATGGTGATTTGGTTAGAATTTCTTGTCATGAACCATGAGATCATGGGTTCAAGTTTTGAATTCACTAATTTATTTTTAATTTTTCTAAAAAAAGAGAGAAGAAGGAGGAAGAGAAAAAAAAAGGAGGAGATCATGGGTTCAAGTTTTGAATTCACCAATTTATTTTTAATTTTTCTAAAAGAGTGAAGAAGGAGGGAGAGAAAAAAAAGGAGGGGGAATCGGAGGGAGAAGTGACGGGAGGGAGAGGGGGGCGACGGGAGGGAGAGGGGGCGCTGGGGGAGAGAGGAGCGCGGGGACGGATGGGAGGTGGGAGGGGGGTGTAGAATAGTTATTGTAAGGGAGGGGTGTATAATAGAGCTAATATATATATATATATATTGAATCTATTCTACACCCCCCCTCCCATGGGTCAAACCCACCTCTCCCACCCTCCCTAGGGCCCAAAACCCCCCTCCCACCTTAGTCAAAGCGTCCTACCGCCGGTCAAACCCGCCCACCACTCCCTCCCCCGCCCACCACTTTGCTGCTCTCGTCTTGCAGGAATCGTGCGGTAACAAGACGGTCATCGTGCAGTAACAAGACAAAATTATCACAGTAACAACGTTAAAAAGTAGCCATGATGGATCTAGTTTTGTTAAGCACTTTTTTACGAACATTATGATGCAGACGGATTAGAAAAATAATATATAACGTGAGAGATATTGCTCTCTAAAGATTGAGATTTACTTTTTTTAATTCTCGTCTCGCGGGTACGGTGTAGTAACGCGACAGTCAATATGTAGTAACACGACTACTTTCCATAGTAACAACGTTATAAAATAGTCATGATGGATCTAGTTTCGTTAGGCATGTTGTCTCAATTATCGTGTAGTAACAAGATAATTGTATTAATGTTTAAATATTAGAATTCTAAAAGTTTACTTGTACTAAGCTTGCTAGTGTGTATCTTTGTATGGACATAGAAAAGTATTTTTAGCACTTTGTGTTAACTTGTGACTATGCATTTGCACATGCATTTTTTAGCACTTGTATTTTACACAAGTAGTAGTACTGTAGTAGTACTGTTACTAACATATGTTTTCCGTTACTATAATTTTATCATGATGTTACTGAAAAAACACAGTAGCAACCTATAAATTTCACAGTAACAACCTATAAATTTTGCAGTAACGTATCGTGTTACTGCACTTATGCGATGATGTTACTAGGTATGATTCATATAGTAAACATAACTGATGTGTTCTCACAAAATTTGTACAAACATACAAAACTAACAAACAATGATCACTAATCACTTAGTGTCATAGGGTCAATTGGTTAGGAGAGTTTGCCATGAGCCATAAGATCATGGGTTCAAGTCCCAAATTCACTATTTTATTTTTAATTTTTCTAGAAAAAAGAAAATAATGGGAGATGGAAAAAAGAAGAAGAAGGAACCGGAAAGAGGAGAGATCGGGAGAAGGAGAAGAGCGGGAGAGGCGCGCCGTGAGAGGGAGGAGGGCGGGATCGCGCGCGGGGCTGGGCGGAGGCGGGGCCGTGAGAGAGGGAGGAGGGCTGGATCGCGTGGGGGGCTGGGCGGAGGCGGGGCCGTGCGCGAGGAAGGGGGGTGGGAGGGGATGGGCTTAGTTGGGTTGGGCTAGGTGGGACGAGGGAGGTGGGAGGGGATGGGCTTAGTTGGGTTGGGCTAGGTGGGAGGGGGGTGTAAAATAGTTATTCTAGGGGAGGGGTGTATAATAGAGCTACTCTCTCTCTATATATATATATACATAAAATTTTTTATATGTATACACTTTTAGTGTATAAAAAAATATACACATGTATATAAAGTTTATGTGCATACGTATAAAAACCAAAAAATATCTGTATATAAAATTTGTATATGAACATATTAAAAGCCTAAAAAATACATATACAAACTTTATATATGTGTATGCAAACTTTGTATACGTGTATACAAAATTGGTATACATACGTATAAAACCCCAAAAATACACGTATACAAACTTTATATACGTGTATACAATATTTGTATACGCTTATACAAACATTGTATACGTGTGTACAAAGTTTGTATTTATACAAAATTAATATATGTACGTATAAAAACCAAAAAATACATGTATACAAAGTTTATATACGCGTATACAATATTTTTGTGTACGCGTATACCAAGTTTGTATTTGTACATATAGAAAGTTTACATACATACATTAAAACCGAAAAAGATACGGAAAGAAAAAAACAGAAAAAAACCAAACGGATGGCAGAAGAAAAACAGAAAAAACAAAAAAAAAAGCGAAGCTGAAAAAAAAAAGGGAAAAATGGGTCCTCCGCGCAGCGCCGTCCGTCGCCCCCTCTCCGCGCGCGACACGTGTCCAGTCGCGCGGGGAGGAGGGCATGCGACTGGTCGCTGAATAGCATTCTCGCCTGCTTGGTGTCGGAGATTGTAGGTGATCAGCCTCGGATCCACTGCTGCCAATGACCTAGGCTGTGTTTATTTCACACCAAAATTGAAAGTTTGGTTGAAATTGGAACGATGTAACGAAAAAGTTGGAAGTTTGTGTGTGTAGAAAAGTTTTGATGTGATGAAAAAATTGGAAGTTTGGAGAATTATTTTGGAACTAAACACGGCGCTAGTCCTACCACTCGCCATGATTTTACTATACTTAGCCTAACTAATGCTGTCCATCAACCTTTTCCCCTACTCTTTTATCTCTCTTCCTCATGCAAAATACTGCCCACACACGCATACCCCAAATTCCACCCCCTTTATTTCCTTGCATGTCAACTATAAACCTACACCTCCTCTGTTCCCATGTTCCAATCTCCTCTTGCCATTGCATATATTGTGTAAAATAAAACTACCTCTTCCTTCCTCACTGCGATGGCATCCCTTTCCTCGACACTCTGCACTCCAGGCTTCAATTACCCCCTCTCTTCTCCAACCTCAATCTCTCTTAGCCAAACTACTCTCCATCAATTCGGCGCGGCTAGTGCGAGCTATATTCTCTACTCATATTTGCTTCCATCATCTATCAATCCCTACCATCGCCCTCTTTCTGTTTTGATCATATCAAACTTGGTTCTCACTTTGCCATCACCATTTCCATAGGGAGTTGAATTCAGGCCCCTGGCTTAGAAGTAGTAGTATTTGAGGAATTGGTGGCATGTAGATTTAAGCTCAACTGAAGTTGTCGCTGTGGACATCTCCTCATCATCTTTGGTGTGGATATGGCCCGAGTGATTACAGTTCTTAATCCTGAAAAATTGCTCAATTGGTTTTCCCCACTGATGCTGATGACCTTGTTGCAAATCGCTCAATTAGTTTTATTCCCAACTGATGCTGACGTTGTTGCAGACCATGCGAGAGTGATCAGAAGGGGTGGCTACAATGGAATGGTAGGTTTTCATTTCACATATTGTTTCTTGTGCAGTCTTGTTCTTTCTCTCACTCTCTTCTCTCTTTCAATAACAGAAATCAATTCAGCCTCTACATCAAGGTCTATTTGACCTAAATTTGTTTAGTAGTGGTAGTGCTACATATAACTGCTAAATCAACTTAAAAACCAAAATATCAATTCTAACAAATATATGGAACAATATTAAATTTATACGAGTCCCATACTACAAATGATCCATCCATGAGAATATTTTTCATAATTAGTGATCTTCCTAAGTACACAAACACACCACGATTATATCATCCCTCTTGATTTAATTTACTTGTAGCAGAGACTAATTAATAGAAGCCCACAGTACTATGAAAGCTATGTTCGCAAATGGCCAAAAGGAATCCGGGCGCTCCACCTCGGGTTGAAAGGCCTGTGATAAATTATTTTCTAGCAGTGTAATAGTTATTCTAAGAATCTCATAGATATATAGGGATTTGTGTATTTCTTTCTTATCAAATACTACCAACTATATGATTACGATATTAAAATCTCTTATAGTTCAGTTTTTTAATCCACAGAATCACCAAAATTATATGATCCATGGTATTAGGTGGTAGGACTACCTATTCATCCTTCGGCAATTTTGTTTTCCAAATCACACGAATTCGGCACATTCTTTTCACCAAATCACTTGACATCTTTTTTTATCTCTGGACCATGCAAAAATTATTCCAGCAAGATTAACGGACAAGCAACTAACATAATGGTTTGTCTATATTCATGGTATCACATTTTTATCAGAAAAAGAACAAAAGAAATTTCATGTATAGTTTACATTGTAATTCCATATAACTTATACTGTAAACTCTATATATTTACACTGGAAAGTTCAAATCTTACAATGCAAATTGCAAAACTTACACCATAATTTTACATATACACACGAAAAAAAAAGGTAAAAAAAATAAAAGTAGTGCATATCAACATTTTTTTTAGCAACATGCCGTACAAGTGAAGACAAATTAAGCAGGAGGCACAATAATGGACTCCTAAAAGTCTGAATGATTTCAGGGTAAAAAGGCGTATACAAATATATAGCAAAATTGTTAGGTGGTTTTAATTAAGCAAAGTGCTTAATAAATACTCGAAAACCCAAAACAAACAAATTAAATCAATTGCACATTCCCCACTTGTATAATTAACAGATTATATATACATCTGAAACAGCTAGCTAGCTTTCCCAATTTGTAGATGGGCAAAGAACACACTGCCGTATTTGCAAAGGAAACTCGAACTTGTGCCTGACAGATATCACTACATCAAATTAGTTTCTTTACTAAAAGCGTTTGCAGATGCAAACGAAACTTCAGTTTCGCCTTGTCGTCTGCATGCCGGTTGAGGATAGACAACAAATTAGACATCGAAAAGTTGTGAATGAACGCCCCAAAACCGTGACTCAATAAATCAGTTGCTTCCCTACACGTCTGTGTGTGAGCATACCCATACAATACTTGCTGTCGTCGTTGAGCCATACTTGTGCTGTGGTGTGTGGTCTACTCTCCGTACTATAAAAACCCAACCTAATGCCAGATATGACACATCTTATTACTATGAGTCTGAACATCCATCGGTCCAGATTCATAATACTAGGATATGTTACATCTTATTCTGATTCGTTTTTTATGAGACAGAGAGTATGCGTGCACGTATATGCATTCTGATGTAATTAGTCTTACTGTCTCGTACCATAATCCATTCATTGCCATGTGTGTATAAATACTACCTCCTTGGATTCCTTGCTGCAGAACACTTATCTTCTCTCTTGAAAAAGCTCTAAGGGTACCAACATGATGGCAGAGACGATGACCACGAAGACGAAGCCAGGGATGGCGGAGCGGTTACTGCTCCCATTGAGCATGGTACTGGTCCAGCTATTCACCATAGGTGCCCTCCTCCTCGCGAAGCTATCATTCAATAGTGGGATGGCACCTTTCGTCCTCCTCGCATACCGCAACCTCATTGGCACCGTCACCATGTTACCCTTCGCCTTCTGGTTCGAGAGGTACGTAACACTTGTGCACATGTGACTTCGGAGCAATTATTTGTCTTTTAGGTTGCGTTCGATCAACTTTGTTAGAGGTTAGTTTTTCTTATACATGAAACGAGGCAAGTTATTGATACATGATAAATTGAGTATGAATTATTATAAATTTAGAAAATATATCTGTCTCATTTTTTAAAGAAACTTTTATATAGAAAAATTCTGCACAAAATGATTTATTTACAAGTTTTGGAAGCATGCTAATGAAAAAGAGGAAGTTGCATGTTGAAGTTGCTGAAAAGAACGGAAGTATAACACTTGGTTAATCTGGGTGAGTAAATAAACACGAGGATTTAACAACGTAAAATGATGAAATAGTGTATTGTTTTGCATGTCGCGTTGTTTATGCGGCTTACAAGGGTTATGGAGAATACAATGTCTCTCCTATAAATAAACGTTATTATGTTATGGACGCCACAAAAAGTAGTTATATTTCTTTGGATGCCAGCTGATGGCATGGATGCTTCACATGTCAGTTAGTTTTTGGTTTCCCAGCTTAGCAAGACAAGCAGCAGACGAAAACAACGTAGTACTACACACTTTCCTTCCTTTGAAATGTCACATCCCTCTTTTGAAATTTCCTTTTGAAACATTTTATTTTCCATAACATTCAGTTCAATCGAGTAATTTTTGGTAGCTGACTTTTAAATTTTATGCTTGTCGTGTCTCATAACTTCTAATTTCAGGCAAATGATGAAAAAGGTTAACTACAAGGTACTGGGCTGGATATTTTTCAACGCTTTGTTCGGGTCAGTACTACACCCCTCAAAACAAGAAATCCTCTCCCCTCCCACCCCCAGAAAAATCTGATTTAATTGGTTTCTTTTTTTATTACTGGAGAATTGTTTTGGCTATGGGGCTACACTACTACGGCCTACGCGCTACCAATGCTGGATACACCGTCAATTTCCTAAATTTGGTCCCCGTCGTTACCTTCATCATTGCAGCGATCTTCCGGTACATCGTGGATCGAAACACTCTATATTCTAGGATAGGTGACTGTATGGATCAAAAGAGAGAATTTTCAATTTTGTTTAATGCATTGTGGGATGAACTGGGGGTTCAGATTGGAGAAGCTGAAGCTGAAGACGCGGTCTGGCATGATAAAGGTGATTGGCACGGTGATCTGTGTTGTGGGCACCATGGTGGTGAGCCTGTACAGGGGCAAGCTGCTGCATTTGTGGCCTACCCACCTGCTGAAGCCGGCGCAGCTGCGGGCGATCGGCGGCAGCGACGACTCCACCTTCCCTACCCACCACAACATGCTCATCGGGACGCTCTTCCTTTGCGGCAGTTGCCTCAGCTACGCCTTCTGGTTCATCGTTCAGGTACAGCGTCCATCCATATTGGCAACATCGATGATCAATAGACTGTAGTGCTATTTGTGAAGTAGTTTCCATGTATGTATACTGATCTTTGCTGAAACCTCAAACCTGCAATAATATAATGCAGGCCAAAGTGAACAAGGAGTTCCCATCTAAGTACTTCTCGACGATGCTCGCATGCTTGATGGGGACAATCCAGGCGGTGGTGATCGGGATCGCCGTCGACCGGGACCGGTCGGCATGGGCACTCCACTGGGATCTGCAGCTGATCACCATCATCTATTCGGTAATAAAGCTTTAATTTAGCTCGATGGTATATATCCATCCTTAGAGGCATCTTATAGTAGCACCATCTCAATTCTGATTAGGCTAAATGATGTGTGTTTTTTTCCTTTCATTGACAACGAACACAAATCACATTGACAGGGGGTTTTCAACACGGCTGCCACCTTCTGCTTGATCACGTGGGCGGTGTCACGGCGAGGGCCAACCTACCCCTCCATGTTCAACTCGCTTGCGCTGATCATCACCGTCGTCCTTGACTCGATGCTGCTTGGAAGCGACATCTCTGTCGGGAGGTGAGAATTAATACTGCGACAGCATGTCTGTATATTCAGTCTTAGGGTCGTACTGTTTTATATATGTACGGTATCAAGTCCGGCAAAAGCATGGACTAGCTACCACATGAGAGGCACTATATATACTACTCCATCCGTTTCATATTATAAGACTTTATAACATTGCCCACATTTATATAGATGTTAATGAATCTATACACATATATGTCTAGATTCATTTACATCTATATGAATATGGATAATACTATAGAAAGTCTTATAATATATAACATGCTTTGCTTGCAGCTTGCTAGGGGCATTTATGATAATCATTGGCCTCTATTCCTTCCTCTGGGGAAAAGGGAAGGAGATAAAAGAGCAGCAGCAGCAAGTTCCCACGAATACAGAGGCAGATCAGAGCAAAATCACTTATCCTAAAAGTAATGGTGAGGTGCGAATTATGTTGGATACATAGACAATGTAGATTGTAGAGATCGCTAGATATAACAAAGGATTGTATTTGGATTACTATAGACTAGAATTAAGTCGCTTGTTTATTGATGAGGTATATGTTGATTCTTCTATCGTCAATAGAGAAAGATAGGAAGGTGAGTGTAGTTTAGCCATTTCTCTTTGCATACATGGAAGGTAAGTACTATATATGGCGAAATAGGAAGCGTTATCACCTCCCGGATGAGGCCACACGTACATTTATATTAATATGACGTGAAAACAGCCTTTCACCGTGGCAGTACATAGATCAATCCATTGTATACCGGTATAGATCACATAAAATGATAACCAACTCCTCTATCCTCTACTTTTCTGTTACAAAGAGATAAACCCTGACATATATATCTAACAAGTATGCCAAGATGGTGGTATGAAAATGGGAGATGGAATTTTTGTTAATTTGAAAGAAAAATGTACTACATCTCTTGCGATCTACATTCACTACTAGAAAAATGATTTTTCCAGGCGGCCCAAAACCATTTTCGCAGGCGGGGAGGAGGACCGCCGCTAACACGTCAACTGTGAAAAAAGACCATTTTCGCAACTGGGCCCGTGGCCTGCCTGCAAAAATCATCTTAGAAAAATAATAAAAAAAAACCACGGGCGCTGCCGCCGGCCAGGGCTCTCCTCCGTCCACTGCCCCACATAGAAGAGGGAGGAGCCGACCTGCCGCATCGGCGCCATCGTCGTCGTTGTCGCCCGTCGTGGCCGGTGGCGGAGGAGGCGAGCCGTTGTCGTCGCTCGTCGTGGCCGACGGCGAAGGGGGCGAGGAGGGAGCCCGCCGGCGGCGCGAAGGTCGTCGTCATCGCCGAGGAGGGAGCCGGCCGGCGCCGGAGGTGGGGAGCCGGCGGTGCACGGACGTGGGAAAGGAGGGAGCTGGCGGCGCGCGGACGTGGGGAGAGGAGGGGAGCTGGCGGCGCGAAGGTCGTCGTCGCGGCCGAGGGAAGCCGTCGGCGCGCAGAGCCGGCGTCGCGGTCGTCGTCGTCACCGAGGAGGGAGCCGGTCGGCGGCGTAGGTGGGGAGCCGGCGGCGCGAAGGTCGTCGTCACGGCCGAGGGGAGCCGTCGGCATGCGGAGGCGGCGGTGCGGTCGTCGTCGTCGCCGAGGGGGGAGCCGGCCGGTGGCGAAGGTGGGAGCCGGCGACGCGTGGACGTGGGAGAGGATGGAGCCGGCCGGCGGCGCGCGGACGTGGGGAGAGGAGGGGAGCCGGTGGCGCGAAGGTCGTCGCCGTGGCCGAGGGGAGCCGTTGGCGCGCAGAGGTGGCGTCGCGGTCATCGTCGTCGCCGAGGAGGGAGCCGGCCGGCAGTGGAGGTGGGGGTGGAGAGAAGAGATTTTTTCTAAGTATGAGAGAGAGAGGGGGGGGAAGGAAATGAGTGGTGGAGAGGAGAGGATAAGGATGGGGGAGGAGAGGATAAGGATGACTAGATTTTTTTAGGTAGGTACAATTTTTGTAGGCGGACCACGTAAGGTGCGCCTGCGGAAATTGATTTTCGCAAGCGTCGCTTAAGTGGTCCGCCTGCGAAAATAGAGAACTTCACTCCGATTTATATTTTTGTAGGCGGTCATTTGGCTTTAAGGGCTATGTTCCACTATGAAAATAAGACCCCACGTCGGGAAAAATATTTTTTCTAAGTAGTGATTGATGGTTTGAGTTGATTGTCAAGCACATATATATAGTAGTGCAGTGTTGTGCAAAATGATTGGTACGTATGGCCATAAATACGGATATGGTGTGCAATCCGCCACATATGGGCACATTAATCATTGCCGAACATATAAATTTCATCATTAGCAGTTAAAGTTGTTTCTATCTAATTGGCAATATAATTGAATATCTCCAAAAGCAACCAAAGCTTGATTAGCAAACATATTATGGACGGGACGTAGATGCGGAGATGGAGAGGCACCACCAACATAATTACCAGCGTCGCCTCGTTGATTTTTTTTTAAGGTTTTAGATTGTTCTGCTTTGATGCGGTGGAAAATTTTAAAGATGTAATTTTCCAAAGTGTGGAGACAATTTAGTATCCCACTAAAATTAAATCAGTGTGAAACACTAAGCTAGGACAAATCAAATCAAATCAAGAATATAGAAGCCCCGTATAGTAGTTTTCTTTTCACTCTCCTTGTAGGTGCACCTGTGACCGAAAACTATCCCCATCAAAGCATTCGGTGGCCGCAAACCAGAAGAATCATGCAAATGCTTGGTTGTCCTCACTCGGTACAAAATACTTCAGGATCACTACACATGACTCGAGTGGCTAAGAGAGCATTATCACTTTTTCTCTTCTAGAATAAAAAAGTGGTACTTTGTGGTTTTCATAGAAATTAATTTTCATATAGGTTTAAGCTCACTTATCAAGAAGAAAAAATATTTATGGATGCAGAGAATAAAGGGTGAATCAAGAATCATATGCTCCCTAAAGTCGATCCATTGTCTTATAAGGAAGGTGTGAACTTTTTATATATCAATTTTAGAATCCTTATTTTCTAATTGCGAAAAATATAGTGCCTCCCATTTTTCATGTCCTTTTATAAAGTTTCTGGATTTCAAGTGTGTTTTTTTGGGGCAATTGTATATTTGACCCTATTTTCATAAGTTTACTTATTTGACTCTCTTTTTTAAAACTGAACCTGTTCTGTTAAAGGAACTTAACGGTGTTAACGAAAATCCAAAATACCACTTTTGCCCTTTCTCATTGAAGAAAAAAAACACAAATGTAGTCAATTAGTGTGTAACAACAATTTCATGAGCAGCAATTAGCAACTAACAATGTTCAGCAGCAATCCAACAAAGAGGAGGCGAAGATGTGCAAGCAATAGCCATGCTAGTGCCTGCCTTACGCCGAGCTCCCTGTGCGCACCGCGCCTGGCGAGATGCCTCCTCCATGACCACGCAGCACGTCGGCGAGTCGCGCGTCTCCATCGCGAAGAACGCCGACGAGCCGCCTATACCTTCTCGGCGCCGCTGCTCGCTCTCTCCCCGTGCGCCGCCAACGCCGCTCCCATCCTCTGCGTGAGTCCCGCCGCCGACGCCCTTCGCACGCCGCAGCCGTGCCGCCGACGCCCTCCGCGCGCTGCAGCCGTGGCTGCTCCCTCTCTCCGCGCGTGCAGCAGGCACGGTCGCCGGCGCCCCTCCCCTCCATGCGTGTGGCAGTAGCGTTGGGGATAAGGATAGGGTTGTGTGGATTCAGAGGGCATTTTGGTCATTTTGGACTAGTAAATGTATGTTTTTTCTTTTTCCTAAATAAAATTTTAACGGTGAGCGAAAAGAGGGTCAAACGGTAAGCTCGATTTTAAAAAACGGGATCAAATAAACAAAACTGAAAAAGTAGGATTAAATTAGTAGTTAGACTTTAAAATAGGATCAACCGAGCAATTATCTTTTTTTTTATTTATTCTACCCCAAAGAACTGTGAGCCCGTTCTGCTGCCTAGGGTATCGCGCGCGCTGTGCAGCCTATGCTGCGATGCAAGCGAGATCACCACGGAGGCATGTTGGCCCATAGGCTACACGTGCTCTAGCCATCGCCTGTCAGCCAAAAGCCGGTCGATCCATCCACTTGTACATTCAATTTTGTTGATTATATGTTTACCCATGTAATGTGTATCAGAGTATCAGACCATTTTAGGACTTTGATTTTTCTCTAGTTTGACTTAATTAGCTCCCTCGGCCCATGATCTAACATAATACTCCCTCCGTCCCTAAATATTTGACATTGTTGACTTTTTTAAATATGGTTGACCGTATATGTTATTTAAAAAATTTAAGTAATTATTAATTTTTTTTCTATCATTTGATTCATTGTTAAATATACTTTTATGTATATATATAGTTTTATATTTTACAAAAGTTTTTAAATAAGACGAATGTTCAAACATGTTTAAAAAAATTAACGGACAGTTAAATATTTAGGGACGGAGAGAGTCAATGTTTATCCACACTGAAGGTTTTCTTTTTTTTTTTTTTTGCCGAAACAAAGCATTGAGCCGCTTGTACTTAACATAGCTCTCAAAAAGTCAGAATTAGCTAGTGAATAAATGTTGGAAATAAGAAAAATAGAAAAATGCCATATTGACTGCTAAACTTGAGACCCATATTGACTGTATGTTTGACATACCTTAGAATCCTTTTAACTGCAAAAATACTGAGGTTGCATATGGTATTAGAGCCACCAAAGTCCGGCGACAAATCCTCAAGCGCGGCGATGGCAGGATCCTCGTCAAGCGCTACTGCTACCAATCCTCTTTTCGGTGTTCAGATTTCAGAGAAACTGAGCAAAGAAAATCATGCGCTGTGGTCAGCGCAAGTCCTACCGGCCATACGTGGGTCGCGCCTAGACGGGCATCTCACCGGCGCCGCTGCTGCTCTGGCCGCGGAGATCGAGTGCGTCACCGATGGCAAATCAGAGAAGATCGCCAACCCTGCTTTCCAGGAGTGGTTTACCTCTGACCAACAGGTCTTGGGGTTCCTGCTCTCCACCCTCTCAAGAGATGTACTCACCCAGGTGGCTACGGCATCCTCGGCGATGCAAGCATGGCAGCAAATATGCGCTATGTTCACCGCCCAAACCAAAGCACGGTCACTCAACGTCCGGCTTACACTCACCAACACACTGTTGCCAACTTTTTGTGACAAGTTGACAAGCACGATCGCAACACCTAAACGCCTTGCGGTGATATGGAGTCGCCAACCACCTCGATCTAGTCAAAGGGCCAAATCAAGAAGGGTTTTGCAAAAAGAAAAGCTAAACCGGCTAGCGGAGCCGATTTAGAGATCAAAATCAGCCTTTAGGCCGATTTAGATCGATATGAAGATAACTACCCATCTCGTGGGCAAAACGGAAGGTTTTCAGGACAAACCTACAAAGAGGTGTCACACTCTCGCAGCGGCGGCGGACGGTTTACGGCGCAAACCGACAAAGATGGACTAAAACTAGGGTAAAATAGAAAACATAGTAAAAGAACGATTCAGGTAAATTGTATTCGGGGGGGTTTTACAATGAACCGGCCTTGTCCCTTAAATAGGGGTTGGTCTTGCCCTCTACAGGCCCTTCTCCACGTCCAACTCGGGATAGAAACTAAAGGAAACACGAAACATGCCTTCCCAAGCAAGGAAACCCGAGACTCGACGAAAACAGACTCGGACTCGGACCCTGCCGGTCTGACCGCCCAC